CCCGCCGATAGCATACAGCTTGCCGTCGAGCACCGCCATGCCGGGATCGTGACGCCCCGTCCCCATCGGCGCCACCGCCTCCCACGCATTCGTAGACGCGTTGTACCGCTCGACCGAGGTGAGGCGACCATCGACGACGCCCCCGCCAGCAGCGTACAGCTTGCCGTCGAGCACCGCCGCGCCGGGGGTGTGCCGCGCCGCCGCCATCGGCGCCACCGCCTCCCACGCATCCAACGCCGGGTCGTACCGCTCCACCGAACTAAGGTCTACTTCGTTGTGGCCTCCCACAGCGTACAGCGTGCCGTCGAGCACCGCGACGGCGTGGTCATACCGCGCCTCTTCCATCGGCGCCACCGCCTCCCACGATTTCGTAGCCAGGTCGTACCGCTCCACCGAGCTGAGGACGCCGTCAGCCTCACTATGGCCGCCTGCCGCGTAGAGCTTGCCATCGAGCACCGCCATGCGGACATCTGTTCGTGCCGTCGGCATCGGCGCCACAGCTTCCTCCTCCCACGCGTTCGTTGACGGGTCGTACCGCTCCACCGAGCGACAAACTCGTCGCCGTTGTCGAGGCCGCCGAACACGACCAGGCGCGGCCTCTCGCGCCTCGCCAGCGTCTCCTTCCAGCCGCGGCGCCACGCGCGGCACGTCCCCTTGACGGCGTGCGCCTTGGTCGGCAGCTGGGCGAGGATGTGCGGGGCGAGGTCCGGCGAGAGGAGGACCTCGGAGAGGATCCACTCGGGCTGCTCCACGAGCCGTGCGGCGTGCTCCTCCGCCACGCGCAGCGCGGCGTCGCTCGCGCCCGCCTGCGCCTCGATGATGGCGCACAGCTCCGCTCGCGAGAGGCCCGAGACGCGCGCGCCGATGCGGTGGGAGGCCATCGGGTCAAGGGCAGCGAGGCAACGCACGCGCCGGCTGCAGCAGGTAGAAGCGAGCGAATTCTTTTGAGAGAGAGTTGTTTTGTTTAAATTCTTTTGCAGCGGAGCGACGTCTTTTCTTTTTATTCTTGCGGACGCGTTTTCTTTTTATTTTGGCATCTCTTTTTGTCTGAGAAAACCCAGAGGATTCGCTCGCAAGGGTGTGCGGGACGGCTCTCGCGGTGGCCGCGGCCCGGTCGGTGGCAGGCAAGGTGTCCCGTTGACGCGCGATCGATGACAGCGGTCCCACCGATCAGACGAACTGCCGATGGCCGATGTCCCCGATCGCCGATGCACTGCGTGGCGGAGGTTTTATTTTTGCCAACCGTTTTAAAACGAACAGTTTTCTTCCTCACACTCACACACCCCAGCAGACAGCCATAGTCTGAGGGTTAGGTTTCTGGAGCCTCGGGTGCTTTTACGCTTTTGATCGGGTCAGGGGAGAGTGCGACTTTTACCACTTTGGTCGTCTCGGAGCGCCCAACTTTTAGCATGTTTCAAAAATTTCTTCGGCGCTGCGCGCCGCGGGTGCAGCAAGTACTAGCTATCCCTATCGTCCCGCAACGGCAAAGTAGTTCCCGCACACTATGGCTAAAAAAATGCTGCCGCTCGCCCCTCGAAAGCGCCCGCCGGTGTGTCTGTGTGTCCAAACATGTAGCGCTACAAGTTTGTGACACATAAGGACGCATCCTCCCACAACACTTCACCCGCTGGCTTGGTTG